AAGGTAGAACAGTCACACAAATGGCTGATTGGTGTCAGAGGTTGTGAATGATGGAATGCAGCAGTTTGTCCACAGGACGGCCGATTGATCAACTTCTACCAAGCCTATCGTCAAGGTCACCCTTCATGGTTGCAATCATTCCCTGCAATCACTTCCCTGGCCACCAGGGCCCCCGTTGCTCCACCGCAGGCCATGGGCAATACACTTCACAGGCCGTGACGCCTGCTCCCTGCGTCGGCACCAGTGCGTCGGAAGCTTGGTCGACCAGCGTCGGTCGACGCCCAACGTCCAATGGCCTTGGATCGATCGATCGGCCTTCAACCGATCGTGGCCCCACGTGTTGCTGCAACAACCGGACATTTCAGGGCTGCCCACTTGGCAACCTGGACGGTGTTCCTTGGTGATCTTTCTTTTTAAGTGAACATGTTCCTAACAAGGACAGTTCCGGACCAGTGCCCCAGAACTTGTTTCATGGAGAGTCAACATGAGCTTGTCGTGGATTTGACCGCATCAGGCTCAAGCTGCCGTCGCAGGCACGCGTGCACGGGAGAAGAAGGTTATCGTGTTGTTTGAGACTCGTTTGGCCTATTGTGTTTGGCTCCACTTGCTACATCCGGTGGCCAGATGGTGGCCCATTGTTGCTTGGGCCCTTGAGTGTTGCAAAATAGAAGTTACCCCCATTCGGAGGTTTGACTTTCTTTTGCTGAGCTGGTGCTTGTGATTGGGCCCAGACAGGATCAAAGCCCAAGCGGGATTGCAGTCCTTTTTTTATCCTTTGATTCAGGATTTCGATCCACCGAATTTGCATGAATTCCAGTGGTGTTGCTTCGCGAGTTCACCGGTCCAGGTCCAGTGTGCGGACCCACCGCAGGTGACCGCGTTGACGGCGCCGGCGCGTCAGGGCTTCACAGGCGGGCGGGAATTTTCGGTGATTTGCATCGTAGCCTCTACGTAGTTCTAGGATAGGTTTTGCAAGCCACTGGCAAGACGAGACCAGAACCCATTGATGGGCGGAGTGTCCATTATATATATATTATATAACGCGCATATATGGCATCATGAAATTGTGGGGGCACGCTGCAGTACGGAATGCAGACAGGACACATTCTAGGCCCTGATTAAGGACTTAGTAGGGCCTGAGCGCTATTTGTGAGTAAAGGACTTGCATGGGACTGCTGATTTGGACGCCAACCCCTGTTGTTGCAAAAAAGTCCCCTGACTTTCAGCCAAACCAACCTGCGCGAGAAAAGGTGGCCAGAGTGCTGCAACACTCAAGCCTGGCCTTGGTGGTGTCAAGCAGTGGGAGGCCTGATGTGGCGGAGATCTGAACAACAATTCCCAAGTGGTCCACGGTACTGTCCTCCAAACGGCCCCGCCAACGGTCCGCAGCGGGAAGGTCTCATGACCAAAGGGAGCCTTGCAACTTGCAACGGCTGAGCGTTGCCCTCCAAACGGATCCTGGACTTGGATTGTTTGGGCTTTCGCTGGTGCAACGGGTGAGTCTTTTTCGGTGCGAGGCGACCGAAGGTGTCGGATGAGAAGCTGGGTGGAATTCTGTAGGACAAGTTCATGTGGCCACTCAATATCCACTCAATACTCAATATATAATTCCTCATATATACAGGTTTTTTTGTTTAATATATAGACCGTTTTGGAAGAGACCAACCTTTCCAGACCAACTTAGTAGATGAGTACAGCTTGATTTCTTGCTGCTAAGCTTTTTCACCTTGATTGACCAGAGGTTGTCAATTCAATATCAGTCGTCAAGAGTCAAGATGTTTTTTGTTTGCTGTCCTTCGGGGACTTTTTGGCTGTGGCGCCAACAACTCGATGGGCAAGTGCACTCCATGGAGGTACCTCCCAGCTGAAGGCCAAGGATCTACTTTGAGGACCCCATGGAATTGACTAGATCTACCCTGATCTACCTTTCTCCCCAGTGCCGCGGGGTGAGCGAAGTGTGAGAGACATGAAGGGACAACAGTGATGTGCACTGTGCAACCTATGTTTCTTTTTCCAAGCAGTGGGTTGCTAAGTTCTATACCAGCCCCCAAACTTCTCTTAAAGCTCTTTGTAAGGTGGTAACAACGGGGATATACGGGGATGCTGCTTGCTCCAAAAGGTCGTGGGCCTGGCCTTCTTCAGATCGGCCAGGCGAAGGTCAACGCACTGCCGCCACCGAGCATGATGAGGTACCAACTGCCTGCCAAGACATAGGTGAGATGTGGCCATCACGGTCAGATGATCAGATGATGTCAGCACGTGCCATGAACAAACATGTGAGGTATTGTGAGAATAGTTACAATGTAATCACGTGATTCTCTTAGGGGCCAATGGGATGCAAACAACCGGTTAAACACATTCACCTTGATTCACTGAAATTGTACACCAAGACTTGATGAGAGAGTGATATTTGGTCAACGTTTGTGGTGATTCTTCGGAGGTTAGGGATATCATGGGATATCACTAAAGGATAGGGCAACCATTGCCAGGGCATCCAGTACTGGACTATGGTTATACTAGTAGCCTGGGTGGACGATTCTTTGTTTTGGTTGATCGTCCTTAGATACCCTTCGAGTTTTGAAAGACGCAATTGCTGAGACCAGTGCAGGCTAAATCCTTAGCAGCAGCGGTGATCTAAGGACAAGTACAGTAGTTTTCCATGGTTTTTCACTTGGTGTGACCCTTGCATCTCACCATGGGCAGGCTTAGCAAATGGATTTGACGCTTCAGTGCTCCCGCTCTCCGACCAAAGTTGGAATGCAGCAAAGTTGTTGTAGAACAGGAACTCATTTTTCTTTAGGGGCTGGTTGCGGCGCAGAGTGTGATCAAACCGACACATTGAGTCGCATGTCGACCAATTCAATCGGTTCGAGCCTGCCACTTGATGAGTCAGAGTGAAAGACTGTATGCAATATGATGGAGCATATATCAATATTCAATATTTATCATACATATAATACACGTACATGCATATTGACCCCTTTTCAAGCACCCCATTGTATACAAATATACGGCATTTCCATGGAGTTTTTAACGGTGAAAGAGACATTTGGTTTTGCGACTGGGATCACTTGAGCCACAGTCGACCAGTTCGCCTGGGATCACTTTCGCCCCAGCGGTGGCCGGAAATCCGGCCCTGTGAGGGAGGGGGAAGGAAGAAAAAGGGCCTGCTGAGATGAAATCAGATGATTGAGAGGGTGTTGGACCGGGGGTCAAGGGATAGAAGGGATCTGGTCTAGAGACTTGGAGCTTGGGTTTGGAGGCCTTTGGTGATCGATTCTAAGAATGATGATCAGTTGAGAGCGTCCTGAACGGTCTCCTGGACGGTTGGGACTCCGACAAGTCGGGCTCCTCATGGCCTCCATGGCCTCGTCACATGCTTCACCGGGCGGAAGCCACATGTAACACGCCCAGAGGACCTAGAGGTGCAACACCTAGAGGACCTAGAGCACAAGGTTGCTTGGTCAAGAGGTGCAAAATCGTTTGCTGCAGTCTTGGCAGCTGGAGTGAGAAGCACACCTGAAAACAGCAAGAAGATGCCCCCAAGACCACATGCCAAGTTCATCCACATCCCACCTGGCTGTGTGTGTGCTTTTTAGAGGCCCAAACTGCCCATGTGACAGGCAGCAAAGGAGCTGGAAGTCTGCTCGACGAGCATATCGACCCGGACTACCAACCAACTGAAAAGGAGGCTTGCAGAGATGTAGCGGTGCCGAAAGTGAGAGGCAGCTGTGGACTTCCCAACTTATCTCCGCTTTAAGTCAATGGTTGACTTGCGAGCGGCTTTCCGTTGTGCCAAAGATATGTTTGGGGTTTTCACAAAGCCATAGTTTGCTATGCTTGGGGTTCAAAGCGTTGTACTGCTTCGAGTCTACTTGGAGAAGGGCCCGAATGTTCATTCTACTGATTGAGCAGCACTGAGAAAGTTTGGACAACTGTACACGATCCTTGTGATCAGACTTCTTGGCGATGCTGTGACACCGTTGATACCCCCTTGATCTATCGTTTGCCTCCCTGCTGTTTAGCACACACAATACACTTTAGGAATTGGTAAGCCTTGCCGTGCATGGTGATTGGCTTTCGATCCGTTTCCACGCCCCACTTTCGGTGTCAGACGATGGACGTGTTCCAGCTTCAATCAGATGTATCGATGGTAGTTCGTGGTGGCGGTTGATCAACGTCGAAAATGGTGCACGAATGGCTGTTGTGCAGTCGTTCGACCGAATTAAGCAAATGGCCCAATGACGTAATCAGGTATTGTCTCTCAGACTCGCAATCGCAGGTCGAAGAGTACGCAGAATGGCTGGGAATGGACGCTTGGCCCAAAAGTTGATCCAGCCTGCATGTAACACGGGCACCTTGGAGGATAGGTTCAGTTAGCACACCTGCCAGTTGGCTGAATGAGATTAAGCAAAAGCATTGGCCCCTAGAGCCGGAACGCAGCCTGCAGCCGGCAGTGGTTTCCAGGAAGAGTTCGGAAACCGAGGTGAGCAGAATCTCTTGGGTTCTAAAAACACCAAGCCCATCATTTCCTAATCTTCATATCCTAATCAACCATCAGTCTACACATTGACACATCAGAATCATCACAATTGAACCATTGCGCGTGTTTTGTCCATAACACATCCTTCCAATTCAGTTCAATGTGTTGGGACTCGCCGCAGCGCTCTTCAGGACTTGGAGAAGGATCGCGATCTCTTTTGGATCGCACGCGCCGGTCTCAAAGCTCCGCCCCTTTGGCCAGCGGTTGGTTTGCTGGGCTTGTCGGGCCAGGTTTTTTGGGGTTGGGATCTGTGAAGAGCAGACAAGCCTCCTGGACATGTGGCCTTCACATGGATGGTCTTTATGGATTGTCTGTGGAACCATGTGGAACCTGTATTGCCAGCATTGCTCCCACAGAATTGATCCATTTTTTGGTGGGAGCTTCTCGCAGAGTGCGTTGGGCACCGAGAGCCTTCGACCGAGGCTGCCGGCGCCCTGGAAGCCCTGCGAGTCGGAGGATGGTGAGATCTTTTACTTCAACTTCGAGACAGGTCGATGGTCGGCGGCTTTTGGATGGTTTTGGCGGGCTGGTTGAGTTGGATCATGGTGGATCCATGAGATGATTTGTTCTGAGGTGCACTGTGCTATAACTAGCCTAGCCCAATGAACAACAGCCCGATTGATGTCCTACTTAAGGAACATTCTACCTGACTGCACTCCTTTGATCATGATATAGAATGATATAGAGACGTTAACAGGAACTCGACGACTTGCCCGGGTTCCCATATCCCTTGGCATACACTGCATACTCCGGTGCCAAGGTTAGGGGCTCCACACAACGTGAGTATGTAGGCCGCCCCTCATTTGATCAATTGCCTTTCGTTGCAGTGGCATGTGTCCAAAAGGTTGTTTTTCATGCGGATACTTGCGAGATGCCCTCAGACACGGCATTCAACAAGTCTTAGTGCCTTTGGTGAGGTGGCTTTTCCCATACTATACCTAGAAGATCCTTTGGGCAGAAATTCTTGCCTTTTTCGGGAAGAGCGGCTCTTCCCGTCCTGGGGCGGAAATCAGCTGTTTGCCGCGGAAATGTTTTTGTTGCCGCGAATATTCCCTTTCAGGAATCCAGTGAGACAAAGACTACATATTCTAGAGGAGTTGAATATTTTTGTGGTTTACATTGGGCATTTCTGCCTGGAACGGTCACCGCAATGAAAAAAGACAATTTGCAGCGCTTAAGTTTCCACCTCCACCTGCAAATCTGGCTACCATCATATCATATATTATGTGTCTTTGTTTTTGAAGGCTTCTTGTGCGGAATGATCACAAAAGGACTAAAATCAGCCCAAAGTTGAAAACACCTGGCGCGAAAATGCCCGGGAAACAGGCAGAAATACCCGGGAAAGAGGCGGAAATACCCGGGAAAACGGCGGAAATACCCGGTTTCCGGCGGAAATTTCCTGGTAGAAGGCGGGATTCAAGAACAGTGCCTTTGATGCCTTTGAAGGGCTTGAACATATGTCCCAGCCTCTTTGTGAATGTCATGAATTTAGAAGTGTCAAAATCGTAGGGTGTCAGATCTTGAGATGTGAAGCTATGCAGAACGATATGTGGTCTGCAATCATGGAAGAGACAACCTGGTAGGTTGTAATGGTTTTTGAGTTGCTATGTTGGATTTTGCTTGAGGCAAAAATTCCCTGCTGCCCGCGGAAATTCCTACCTGGCGCGGATTTCCCCTAAATCCGCGAATCCTCCCGGGCAAATCGGACTGAGGCAGAAATTTCTGCCCCAGGTGCTTCTAGGTATATACAGTGGTATGCACGAGTATGCTTCTCCGAGCAGAGGCTTCAACTTAGGAGGGAGTCAGCAGTCCATGGTGCCAGTGCGCTTGTTGCCAGGAGAAAGCGTGTGGGATCACCCCTGCGACGAGCATTACCGCAAGGTCTACGAGAAGTACAAGGCATTTTCGGCAAGTTGTTCTGCAGGTTTGTGATGCATTAGGATTTGCTGACTTGCATTCAAACATATTCATTTTGTACACTGCATATGCCCCGAGCCATACAAACGAACAATACGCTGAAAAACCGAGGCTAAGAAAGAGGCGGACCGAGCTACAGGCAACGACAAGAAGAGCCTCGGATTGCATGGGCCCTGGCTTCGGGGGAGCCATGGTTCTTTTGGAATGGCTATAGCATCTATATAACCCTTTGTGCCAGCCGGGTGATGTTTAATCCTTTTTGGATGTTCCCCCAAGAATCCCCCAAGACTGGGGAAGATCTGTATGTTCTCATGTTTGCTTGAAGCAAGTCCAAGAAGGAGGACGGATTGATGGGCTCGACGAAGGTCTTGTCACGAACTCCGGACCTCAGGAGTTTGGGGCTCAAACAGTGAGGGAACATCGGGCTGCGCGGCTGCGCAGCCACCCGATGTTTTTGGGATGTGTAGACTGGCATCCTGGTTTTAGGACAAATCAAGCAGACTGGGCGAATTCAATCAATTTCGCATGGACAGTAGGTGACTGCCTGGGGGGAGAATTCCGGTTCTTTGGCCGCCATGTCATTTAACATGAGACTGCTCCTAAAGCATGGGTATGTGTGATTAAACCACGAAGCACTTTGGGTTGGTGTGCTGCTTGATTCTTGATGCTTGTCTCAGCACTTTTGTCCGCCAAGAAGCTCATTCATGTAAGCAGGTATACGGGTACACATGTTCATGGCGCAGACGCTCAAACCCTGCCACTCGCCTTTTGATGCATCCATGCATTCCAAGACGTGTGGAGCACTGAGGAAAGATAAGAAGGACAAAAAGGACAAAAAGGCCTCTTGGAAGAAACTTTTTTTGGCTAGCCTTTCCCGCAACAACCTTTTGCTCCCAGGATTTCGAGTAAACTTCTGAGTAAACACTAAGCTGATGTCACAGCTTGGTGCTCACCACTTGTCAGAGAATCAGATCCCTCATAGAAATGGCCGTCAATGCCTGTCAGTACTTAGCAGCATCCAGCAGAATCCATGGTTGCGCTGGTCACGGCCGACACGCTTGCCACGGGCTGCCCAGACAAGGCAGAGAAGGCTCGCAGACAAGGCAGCTTCGGCTCCGACGTGCTAGGCCTCAGCACCTTGGTGGTGAAGAAAGTGTGGAGGGATCGGAGCTGTTTCTTTTGTTTTGGGATGTTGAAGGGTCGCCCAGGAAAGTTACAGGATGTTTTTCTTGCATTCTTTTGCCCTTTGTGTCCATCTATTTCCTGTGTCGTCGTGTATTCTTTTTGAACACGACTGTACGACTTTGTAGGCCCCTATTTTCCGTGGATTGGGACCGTTTGGCACCATACTTACGCATGCTATGTGCTTTGTGGATTGTGGCTTTGTAATGGCATGTGCATGGTGTACCATTTCAGGCACCTTTGTACCAAACAGTTGAGCAGGCCACATCAGGCCACAACAGTCACGATCAGTCTAAGCTGCGTGGACTGACGCCATGCAAGAAAGCGTCCCAAAGGTCGTGCTGAAGAAAGCAGAACCCGATCACACCTCCTGAACCCCCCAACAATACTATACAAACATATCATAACATATCCAAGGATATCCAAGGATCAGTCAAAGGGGGAACACACTTCCCAGATACTCCAAGATCCTTACTAGTAGTAACAAGAAGCTAGTAGAAACAAGTGCATCGCTTCTAGTAACAAGTGCCTTACTAGTAGTAACAAGAAGCTACTAGGAACAAGTGCATCGCTAAATGGTTCAACCTGTGAGGCGGCGACCTGGATGTGCCGAAGATGGACTTGCCGAAGCCCGGGGAGTCGCTCTTTGGAAAGCCCAGCAAGAACAAGCCCCTCGTCGTTGCGACTTCGTTGCGGTGCTGAAGCGATGGTCGTTTAGGTGGCAAATCGATGTACATAGTTAAAGTGAAGCCCTAAATTACGCGCGGAATAACTGTTCACACTGCTTATATATTGAAGCAAAGTTTCACCTCTTGGTGGGCACTTCCTACCCTCCTACCCAAAATATGGCAACTCCATCTACATTTGAAACTATTTATATATCCTTTGTTGCTAGGCTTTTGAATGCTCTCGAGCCTCACTGTGTCCTGTGCTTACTTGTTAAGATCAAACAATGGTGGTCGTGCAAACGGAGGCTTAGAGCAAATCTAGAACGATAAGATCCAGTTAATCAACAAATCATGGGAAGCTCAAGCTGCATATAATATATATATATAAGTTATAATATATATATACATTATATTATTCATTATTATTATCGTTGCTTGTAGTTCTGCGCTAGGGTTAGCCGGAGTGTTCTTACTGTAAAGGTTTCTACCCCAGTGCCCAATACCAAGCGGCTTTGACAACTAAATGGCTAATTGGTCTTCGCAAGTAGCTGTTGGTTTCGATGGAGTTCCAAGTGCAGTTGGACCCCAGTGGGTAACCATGAAGCTTCGTGTTGCTCTACTGCACACATTGACTGACGTTTGTTTTGGAGCAAAAACATGGTCTTTCCTATCACAAAAGAGGTGAATTTAATGGGTTCTAGTTTTATATATAACATACATAATTATGATATTATATATATATGAATATGTGATGTATACAGAACTGCTTTGTTATGATTTGATTATGGGAAAGTGGAAGAGGATGTGGCAGCAGGCCTTCTTTAAAGGGACCCCCCCTGAAAGATGCTGGACTTCCTTTTGCGCGAGGCTCGTCTTCGATTGCAAGCCAAAGGCAGGGAGCATTGACCCATTTGAGCGGTTGCTTTCAATCCAAAATCCTCTACAGAGGTGAACATCACCATGTTTGCATGGAGAGTTCCATTCTTCAGGCGAAAGCTGATCCAGCGCCTGCACCTGTGACTTGGTGAGTTCTCACGGGTGAAGAGACGGGCCGAAGAGCTCATTGAATGAAGAGACCAAGGGCCAATGCAATGCCCAGGGTTTTTCCTTTCAAGAATCCTGTGGAACATGAACTTCCAGAGCCTTCTTAATTAGTACAGTAACTCAAAGAAAACGCGGGGGACTGTTTGGGCACAAGAGAGACGCTTCTTGAACAAATCAGAATGATCTACTATAATTGCGTAGTTATATATATTGTAAGGGTTATTCATGGCTCCAATAATGGTCACACATATATATGAGGACTATGAGGTACTGTATGAGGTGACAGACTTTCTCACTCCTCGCTTGGCATTGAGGCCGCGCCCCAACGTTCGAGTCCTTCGACAGGGGGTGCCTCAGCCTACGAAGCACAGAAAGAGAAGATGGAGGCACAGCTGCTTGAAACCCTCACAATGGACAGGAACTGAACAGGCGCTGATAGTTTTGCTTGATCCTAACTTAGCGCATCATAGCGTATGGAGCAAGCCTCGTGGCGCTGTGCAACCTAACAGCTTGGCCTAACTTGACGTTGTGACACGTTGTGGTACAATTGCACCCAAATAGACCCGGAGAACTATCGCCGAAACACTGAAGGGTTTCAATATACGAACATGGCAACTGGCAACTCATGCAGTTTAGCTTGGATCACGTGTCCTCAGATGCTACTTGGTACCCACCAGCAGAATATACGACTACGGAGGTCAACCGGCTCCGTGGTTGTCCGCAGTTTTAACCCACAGCAATATTAATGAGCATGCAGGGTGCACAGACAAGTTCTCCTACAGTTGGGGGCCTTGGCACGCAGGCTGATCAACTGGAACGCTTGCAAAAGCTGGAGAGGGAGCATCAGGAGATGCTGGGTTGGGTGAAATTGGCTTGACAGTCCACCCTCACTCTGGAATCAACATGTTCCCCTGTGACTCCAGTGACCAGATTTCAATAGATTTCATTTGTTTTTCTTTTTCTGCCAACGGCCTGGGTCAGACCAATCAGCCCAATCCAAGAGGTATCTTTGGCCAAGCTGTGTCCAGGAAGCCTTTTGCCCAAGCACTTCGTCCAGTGTGGCCCCATGTTTATATAATTAACCACTAAATGTTTGCTTCTTTAGGTCAAGGTTCAAGAACGATATATGTTTTGGGTCAAAACCATGCTAGCGATGAATCGGGCCAACATCCTGAAACCAAAGCTAAGGGTGAGACTTCTCCTTGTTTATCGAGACTTCTTACGTTCACGGTCCAGCCATGTTCGTCCAACTCTCCATCCTTCACAGATCCTCACAGCTAAGCCGCGACATCACCGCAAAACACCTATGTTGTACCCGTTCCCCATGGTGCCCTTTCTCATTTCACCTGTTCTGGACCAGATCGTATGATTCGTATGCGACCGGTGCTAGCTGCCAGGACAAGCTGCGACAGATGCAGGCTGACTTCGAGACCCGTCGCGAGGAACGCACGCAGCAGCTCCGCCAAGAGCTCGAGAGGAGTGCGTGCCGTGCATCCGCTGAACCCCGTTCTGTTGCAAGTCCATGCTTTGGTCAAGCTGCCTTTTTTATATGGTGAAGCTGCGATGTTTGGAGCTTATGTTTTTTCTTTGATTCCTTCGTTTTGTGGGAGCTTCTCAGTGTACAGTGTAATTATCACTTTTTCTATAGTTGATGCTATTGATTGCGGTTTGTTGCTGCATGGCACTGGTAGCTTATAGCGGCTCTTCTCTCCTGGGTCAACGCAGTTATTGGTTTAAACTTCATCCTGCCCTGTGGAAGGACACCTTCTACTGCCCCTGAAAGTCGCCCAATCCACCAAAAAAAGGGGAATGAATCGAAATGAACCTTTGCTATGCCCCAGTTCCGAGATTACAAGACATTCACGAAGATGTTTGGACTGTTTTCTTCCGAAGACCCATTAAATTTGTTTATCCATGCTTCTCCTGCCTTCTACGCAGGAAAAGCAAGGCCGAGGCCGAGCGGCAGGCCACGTGCGGGAAAAAACGCGCTCATGACACGAGGTCGACGCCACTGTGCCACGGTGAAAGAGCCTGTCCTGTAAGGACTGCGCTAAAAAAGCACTATAGTTTATCTATTTATATATTTACATATGGACTGCGCTCAAAATGCCCTACTCAGAAGGCGAGAAGCGGGCCCCCATGGAGTTGCTATGAGTGCACCGGTTTGGGAAAGGCATTTTGGAAACCAGCCATATAACAGCATAATACGGGATATGCAATGTATCCATCAAACTACCATGGGCAAGTGATTCAAGACCTATGCCTACGATCTAGCTCTCCAGTGAAACTAGGAAAGGACATGAAAAGACTTTAAGTCGCCGGCAGTAGAATCTGCATCACCTTCAATGTCAACACAGGCCCTGGTTGCGTGTGTGTCCAGGTGGATGAGAAGATGAAGATGCTGCGAGAGCAGCTGGAGTACGAGAAGCAGCTTGGCAGCTTTTCCAAGTGACTCTCCCTTTAGTTGAGTTCTTGGGGCTCATCTCAAAGACAATTCATAGAATACCCATGCAAGTGGTGTACTTCCGGCAGCAACCATGTAGAGGGCTATGCTAGCAAGAAGTCCAAATTTATTCCACGGAAAGTTTACCGTTATTGCGTTTAAAACAGAGTGGCTTCCCAAGGAGGGCAATTCCATTCAAGAGCTGCCCTTGATTATTACTTACCGAAGATGCAAGATGGCTTCTAACAGTAGGTCGTTTGGCTGCGCCTAGTGCTAGGCCTGTAGGCTCAGCCGAACGAGGCGCAGCAAGCTCGAGAGGGATGTGGAAGATCGGATGAGACCATCAGCTGCGGCCATGGAACGCGAAGCTAGGGCAAAGATGGAGAAGGAGGTGAGATTGACAGAGAGCAAAGCTCACTGGCCGGAAAGGGTTTCTGTGTGTTTTGCCGCCCTCAAGGATCAGACCAAGAACTAAGTAGTACAATACACTTAACTTAAGATGCCAAAGTTGCTGGATTTTCTTGGAGGTGAGTATAGGTGAGCCCAATTTGCAAACAGATTCTCTACTCCTCGTGCATCCTCGTGCAGTTTGGCCATTTGTGTGCGGTTACCGCCAGAGGCGGAAGAAAAGGCTCAAGCGTTACTTCCGCAGTTCGAGAGCGAGGCGAAGGCGGATCTGGCGAGTCATGTGGAGGGAAGAGGTGTGGGGCTAGGCATGGCCAGGGCAACGTATTCATCAGTTCGTCTTTTAATTGTTGTATAATAGTGGTCCAACTGGGTTTGTGCCACCCACTGTGAATCAGAGCGCATGCCAGAAGCTTTTAGACTTTCCAATCCCAAATTTTGCCTGAAGATGGGTGTTTCCTTCGCTACCCCATCAGGTAAGTTTGAATGACAATTGGGGCCATTTGTGCATGTTGAGCCCTTCGTGTTCGAAACTTCAGCTTTTTAGCAGGAGAAGCTCCAGAGGGAAGCGATGTCCAAGGCCAGCTGCCTTTTCCGCCTTTTTTCGCAACTCATTAGGATGACTCTTGGAGCTTTGGTAGTTCAGGATGTTTCAGGAAGGTGAGGAGAGGAACAGGCATAATGGCATTCAATTGGTCATAGAATGAAAATAGCTCAAGAATCCAGGATGTAAGATTCTGTCCAGGTAACGAAGGTCAGCAGGTGCCTTTTTGCCCCAAAGCACCCATTGTTCAGCCTGCGTGAACTCCACCGGCCGAGGCTGAGGCAACCGTGCGGGTGGAAGAAGCAAAGCTGGACGGGTTTCTGGATGTGTCGGCTTACCAGCGTTTCTGGTTTTTGTGGCCACCAGCCACCAGTAGCCAAGATGTCTGTTGTTTTTTTGTTTTTGTGGCACCAGGGTTCATGACTGTCGTGGTGGATTCGGGCAAGTTCATGAAGCCACCAACATCGTGGGTCATGTCATAGATGGAAACCACAAGTCCGCCACTCAGAGGAACCTGTAAACTCCTACCATTTGGAATACCATTCACCTGTTTTGAATGGTTTTGGAAACAACACAAGAGGGACCTCGGGAAGCAACATGCACTTTTAAGGAGATGCTTCTACTTCTACTAATCATTTTTCCAGCGATCATATTTCTATCAAGTTCACTCTAGGGTTAGCCAAAAAAACAATTTCTTATAATCGCAACCTCAAGAGCGCAGCCAAGCGCAGCAGAGCGCAAGCCAGCGCGGCTCCTCGAACTGAACCGGACGGTGGGACTTTTGAGATGACGCTCTTTCGTCTTTGGCCGAAACGATGACGTTCAAGATCGTCCAGGAGGAAGAAGCTCGGGCCAAAATCATCCAAGAAATAGAGGAGAGAGTCAGGACTTCTGAGCATCGCACGTGACACGTTTGGGCATGAACATGGGGCTAATGAAATTGAGAAGATCTTGTGCGGACACAAGCGTTTGCAAACAAGATATGATCGCATCTAATTATATACTAATAAATGAAGTTCCCTTGAGGGAAGAACCTCAAGGCCCTTGAGCCATCAAGAAACTGATAGTTGAATGGGTTCCTGCAGCATCGGACTTTGACCACTTCAGCGTCTGACTCCGGTTCATAATGGTCCTTGGTAGCCATGCAGTTCCTCCACCATCCACCACTGGACCACTGGAAGTACTGATTCTGGGCTGAGTCACGGCCACAAAGTAACTGGTGCTGTGACCTGTGTTTTAGCCACAGCTGCCATGGCTCGACTCACAGCTGGGTGATCCCGGGGCTGCCGGAGCATCAACGAACTCCATTCATGCCTCTTAAGGAACGGGCAAGCCCTGCACGGAAGTCTAGTTACTGTATTGGAAACAAGATCATCCCAGGGTTCCAGTCGTACCTCCTCAGAAGGTATTCCAGGCCCATCTTCGAAACGAAGGTGCGACTGGAGCTCCAAGGGCATATCACCATTATCACCTCTGTAGGAAGGTGCAGGCGGCCTTTGGGCACGATGCTCGCATACACCACAGGAGAGAGGTGCCAGTCTTGGAGCAACAAGCACGTGATGCGCTTCAGAAGGAGGTTGGCAGGACCAAGGTGACCAAAACAACCTTTGTTTAGTTCTCCACCCTCATCATCCTTGAAGCCATTCGAGAGTATTTGCAGGCCAAATCCTAAATTTATGTCCGCCATGTCCGCTTGTGAAAGAGCTATCTGGCACAGTAGCATTGATGAAAAACAAAAACAAAAAAACAAAAACAACATGCATTGGAAAGAAACCAACATCCAATTGACAAATTTCACCTTCCCCAAATCCACCGAGATACTCCAGGCCAACGAGGCCGTGGCCTTGGAGCGACCGACACTGGAGCAGGCGGCACGCGAGAAGTTGACCATGGAGGCGGAGGACCGCAGAGACGGGTGCCGGACGAGTGGTGCGTCCGATCGCTCCGTTCGTAGCGGTGTGTGTAAAGGCCAGGGCCAGCATGTGAATTACGACTCAAGACTAGGACCTTTCGAAAGCCTTGAGAAAGCATCACTCCTTGTGCCTCAGTTTGGATGGATCATCCAGATATAGTCCCTCCGCCTATCAAAAAACATGGCCCTCTCCTAGAAACCACTTCAGTGTCGGTTTTGGTCTTTAGGGGGTCCCCGAATTCGGGGGACCAAAAAGATGAGAGTTAGGGACCAGCCTCAAACCAAAAAGTTGCCTTGGACAATCGTATGTAAGTAATATAATATAACCTATCAAAAATTGACAACACCTCCAAATTGAAGTTGTTTTTTAAAGTTATTTGATTATTTAACATATCAAAATATTGTTTATTCGGTATTGTGAAGTGTACGCTGTACACTTAGGTTCTTGAAGATGAACCTGTTTCATGTCACCCGCAACTCACCTCTCAAGCATGGGAGGGTTCATGCGCGCTGAAAAGGCGCGGCCGTGAGGATCGTTGATCCTCGTGCTTTCTTTTTTTTCGACACGGACTTCGTTCGCCGTGCACGACAAGTTCACATTGGTAGCGGAGCCCCATTCCGGGGCTCCCGCGAACTTTGTGTCTACTTGAACGAGGCCCTGCTTAAGACCTTTGTCACCTTCACTCTGCCGAGCTCTTCTGGCGCCTCGTGGAAGAGACCTTTCGGCTTAGGCTCCACCTCCTGCTGAAGACCTACGGAAGTGACAATGGCAGCAGCGTCCGCCGGGACGAAAGAAGTAGAGACACAGAACCTGCGCGACTCCTACGTCCCCTTGTTCTCGAACCAGCCCTCAGAGTACAAAGAGTACAGGAAACGCCTCAACCTCTACCACAAGAAGATGGTCATCAGCAAACGAGCTGGTGAGTCTGTGCTGAACATCCTCGGAAGCTTCAGTGGCGTGACCTGGAAACTCTTCGAGGATTATCCCGTTGAGGATGTGGAGAAGAGTGACGCCTTCAGCAAAATACTCGAAAAGCTGGACAAGAACTTTGAATATGACGACCGCGTCCTTCTCCCCAACGACTTTGAGGAGTTCTTCAACCTCATTCAGAGGAAGCCTCAGCAGAGTCTCCTGACCTACGTCACGGAGTTTGACACCTCCTATCGGAAGCTGATGGCACACAATGTTTCACTACCCGGCCAAGTCCAAGGATGGCATCTTCTCCGGCGTGCCGCCCTGACCAAGGAGCAACGCCAAATGGTGACTTTGAAAGCTCCAACGCTGGAAAAGCAGGCCGTCATCGACGCACTCTACCTCCTCTTCGGTCAAGACTATAAAGCGGGTGGTTGGAACAACGACAGAGATCGGAAGTTCGCCCGCTGGAAAGGTAGAGGCTATGCAGCCTATGAGGATGATGACTATGCCTGGCCATCCGACACTGCCTGGCCCGATGAGAGTGTCTACTATGAGGCCGAAGAATGGGGACCTGACGACTACAACCCTGACGAGGACGAATCCTTTGACTATGACGCCATCTACTATGGTGAGGAAGAGCCCACAGAAGACCATGGCGAATCGACTGAGGATCCCTATGAGCTTGCCGAACAGTACGATCATGCCTATGCGACCTACCTTGATGCAAGGCAACGATTCCAGCAGCTCAAACTGGCTCGCGGATACCTTCCAGTGGTCGCCCTCACTGATGGTCAATCCTCTCCTATGGCGTCCAGCCCCTCGAACAAAGGCAAGGATCGCAGTCCCTCAAAAGGGAAGTCCAAGAGCAAGAACAAGGGCAAGGGCAAGAATGTCATCCGCTATCCACCCAACACTGGTGGCAAGGCAACTGATCCTCGTGGCCGAGCACAAGCAACGACCTGCCTCAGATGTGGCCAACCTGGTCACTGGGCTGCACAATGCCCGCAGTCGGCTCGATCAAGTTCGACGGCTACCAAACGTCCTGCTCCTGGTCCAACAGAAGGAATGGCCGTCCAGACCGAGCATGCCCTCGTGCTCTTCCAGGACGAGTTCGGTGATGAACGTCCTGATGCCACGATGCTGGATCCTGGTGCCTCAGCCTTTCTCAGCGGATACGGTCCTTTCAAGCGATATGTTGACCACCTCAACTCCATGAACTACCCGGTCAACACGATCCGGTTCGCTCGATGCGAACGACAGTTCCACTTTGGCGGAGACGCTTCATCTCAAGCTCGCTGGACCGTGGATCTTCCGGTGATGTTGGATGGCAACTATGGCACGATCCAATGCTACCTGGTGCCCGGAAACACTCCAATGTTGATGGGACGACCTGTCATTGAGGCGCTCCGCATGGGCATTGATTTCAGCCAGAAGCAAATTCGATTCGGCCGCTCTCCTTGGCAACCGGTCTTGGTTGGCAAGCATGGTGAATACCTACTCAGCCTTACAGCTGGAATGGAGCATGTGCCGGATCCTACGAAGAGCTTGTTCACCCTGCACATCGCAGAAGAAGTTCCTGGCAGCCACCTGCATCTGGAAGACTTTAACAATCGGGAACAAGTCTTCGCTGCCGATGAGCAAGTGCCTTCGGACAACAACTTCACCTCAGCCCGACTTCATCGACATGCCCTTCGCACCATGGAGGTACAGCTGACCACCATGATGAACTCCACTGAAGCCTACATCACCAATGAGCTTCACCAGCCTCCTGAACACAGAAGGGTGTTGTGGGAAGTGTACTGTGGCAAGGCCCGCACGGGCCAGGTCGCTGAAGAACTTGGCATGAAGGTCGAGCGCTTCTCCCTGGAAACTGGTTGGGACTTCAACCTCAAGAGCCACCAGCAACAGTTCCTACAGCGATTGGACGAGGAGGAGCCTGATGAAGTCCTTCTCGCACCTGAGTGCAAAGTTTGGTCCCGCATGCAGACTTTGGCATGCAGAACGACGGCTCAACAAGAAGCCTTGGTCGCTCGAAGAGAACATCATCATCGTCGACACCTCTGCTTTGCCAAGCGCATCTTCCTCCGTCAGGCAGCAAATGGTCGACACGCTCACCTGGAGCAACCACGGCATGCTCTCAGCTGGAACACTCAAGCCTTGAAGGCTCTACCTGGCTACAACGCCGACTTCGACCAATGCCGCTATGGTGCTATGTGCCTGGACACTGATGGCCGATGGCGACCTGTCCAAAAGAGCACTCGACTGAGGACCACCAAGAAGGCAGTCCTGGAAGCTCTGCAACTTCGCTGCACTCATGATCACCAACATTGTCCCCTCGAAGGAGCAGCTCCTGGTCTTGGCCCTCGAACGACCTACCTTGAGGACTACCAACCTGGCTTTGCAGCTACACTGGCCGCAGCCCTCGCTCAGCCTGAACCAGGCCAACTTTGGGACACCGCCTATGCAGTTGATGGATCCGAGAAGAAGGCAACTGGTCATTTGCTCAAGCTTCAAGCTGAACACCATCAAGATGCTTTACGTGTTGTACAACGCTTGCATCGGAACTTGGGCCATCCGTCACCTGAGGCCCTAGCTGACCTGCTCTTGGCAAGAGGCGCTCATGCATCTGTTGTTTCCGCCGCCAAGGAGTACAAGTGTGTCGCTTGCTTGAAGCACAAGAAGCCGAACCAAGTGGCTCCATCGTCCATGCCACAGCCGAAGAGCTTCAACGACACCATCCAGGCCGACGTCTTCTACCTGAAACCAGGTGATCGGAAGTTCTCCATCCTCAGCATCGTTGATGTTGGCACCAAGTTCATGGCTGCTAGCCTGGTGTTGGAGGAAACCTCTGAGTCTTACTCGAAGGCCCTGGAAAAGGTCTGGCTACGCCACTTTGGACCTCCTCGTGTCTTGGTCACTGATGAAGGAAGACCATGGCTCGGTGGCACCTTTGAAACTTGGACCAGTGCTGTTGGCATTGATCATCAAGTCGCCCCTGGAGAGGCTCACGAAAGACTCGCCCTGGTTGAGCGTCGCCACGCTGTTCTTCGACGTGCTTGCGAGGTTTACCTCTCAGACCGCAAGCTGACTGACGCCCATGGAGTGAAAGAAGCCCTGACTTATGTCATTCCGCAACAGAATGCCACTCCTTCAGTTGCTGGATTCACTCCGAGCCAATGGGTGTTGGGTTATCAACCTGAGTTGAGCCACCTTCTGGACTCCAACCTCAACGCTGCACAGCTGGCCGGCAACAACATCACGTTCGAGCAGAACTTGGAACGTCGCACCTCTGCACGTATGGCACTCACAAGCGCCGATGCTGACTCCAAACTTCGGAGAGCCTTGAGCAGGAAATACCAAGGTCAAAGCCGCATCTTCCGGCTTGGTGAACGTGTCTGGTTCTGGAGAGACGCCCGACAGAGCGCACTCAACAAGATTCGTTGGCTGGGACCCGCTCATGTGGTGCTACGTGAAGAAGACCCCGACGCACCTACTGAAGCCACCAAGGTCAACACCTACTGGCTTGCCTACAAGAGCCAACTCATCAGAGCAGCACCTCACCATGTCCGTGGCGACATCCTTGGACCACAGCACGTGCTGGACGACTTGCAAGCATCGCTCAACATGGTGCGTCAACTCAAGTCTCGTGGTGTCACTCGATACTACGACCTCCGGCGTGTCAACCGACAACAACTTGAAGATGTCGAAGAAGATGAGCAGTATGATGATCCTGACGGACCACTGCATGATGAATCTGAAGAACCACCTCGTCATCGACTTCGCCTGGAAGTTCCCGAGGCTCCAACAACCTCGGATCCTGTGGCAGAACTGGATGCCAACGAGTACGAGCCGACTTCACCGGCACACTCGAGCTTTGCACCAACAAGCCCAAGAGCACCTCCATCAACCATGGCAGGACCACCGGCAGCACAACCTCCGCCTCCTTTGGAGATGCCTACATCACCAGTGACCTCCAGGTCCAGATCCAGAGCCCCAACAGTGGCTGAACCCAGTGAAGAGCCGATGATTCCCTCCGGACGTGAGACACCACATCCACCAGCAGAGGCACCACCGCCCCCGGCTCCAAATCCAAGACCTGTCTTGGACCCCACCACTGCCTCCTTGTATGAGACGGTTGATGCAGAGACATTCAGCCAGCGTCGTGCCAGATTCAACCGACAAGAGACGCTCAGCTTTGGACCACTCCGAAGCCTACGGCCACCACCTGCACAACCATATGAACTACCTACACCATCGGCAGAAACAGTCAGCACGGAAGAGCCGCCCCCTGCAGCCAGTGCCGATCCCGACCTCTCAACGGCCGATCGAGCCCCTGAGCATGCATTGCTGAATCATGCCTTCCAGGTCACTGATTTGCAAGCCCACGGACTACCTCAAGGCTGGTCCTTCCATGATGGCTACTTCCACCTGGATAAACGGCCTCGAGACTACTGGGAAGTGAAAGCTGGCTGTCTCATTCGACATCATCTCGTGCCAAGGAGACACAAACTGTGCTTGCACGAGCTACCCAAGGACAGTCCCTACCACCACAACCAGCTTGATCAAGTCCGAGTCACCGTGATGTATGACAACAACGGCAAAAGCCATCAGATCACCGATGACGGCACTGATTCACATCCTATGGACCGCACCTGGACAGGACTCAGCATCTTTCAGATCAAGGGCGACATCCGACGTGAATTAGCCATGTATGCCAAAGCCCCACTACAAGGAGCACGTCAGATAGGCAAGACTGCCAAGATGCAGCACGCCAAAACCTTCAAGAAGGACAAGAACAAGAACAACCTCACAGAGCGTCACATGACGCCAGATGAACGTGCCCAGTTCAAGGCCGCTAAGGTCAAGGAATTGCAAAGCTTCTTCGACAACCAAGTGTGGCAGTTCGAGACCACCCATGAAGCAGAGCCCAGCCGGACTTTGACAAGTCGCATGCTGCTCAAATGGTCAAAGAATCCCGATGGAAGTCCAAGGGCGAAGGCCCGTTTGATCGTCAGAGGATTTCAAGATCCCGATGCCTGGGAGGGCACTGTTCCTACATCCTCTCCAACGACGACCCGGCTGTCGAGATCTATGTTGCTCAGCCTGGCTTCCACGATGAACTGGCCAATTTGGACCTCAGACATTGCCACGGCTTTCTTGCAAGGCAAACCGCAAAGCAGGAAACTATGGGTACAACTCCCAAACGAATGCCTGGAACTGCTTGGAGCATCCCCCGACACACGGATGCTACTCCTGAAGCCATGCTATGGTCAGATAGATGCCCCAAGAGCTTGGTACCTGGCCGCCGTGGACAAGCTGAAGGGCATGGGGTTGAAACAACATCCACAAGATCCCTGCTGCTTCCTCATGTATGAAGGCGAGCTCAACCCTGAGTTTGACCCTGCTGCACCGGCACCGCACTTGTTGGGCCCGCATGGTCTTTGTGGCATGGTGATCATGCACGTGGACGACATGCTTGGTTGTGGCTCCACCACCTCGCAGTGCTACAATGACACCCTGGCCAAGCTCAAAAGCTCATTCACCTTCCGTGAATGGAAGACAGGTGATGATGGGAAGCCCCTGACCTACTGTGGCTGCGACATCTACCTCAATGAGGACGGAAGCTTCATGCTCAACCAAAAGAGCTATCTTGGCAAAGTGAAGCCAATCTCCTACGACCGGAAGCGCAACCTCACAGAGTCTTTGAACCAAAAGGAAATCACACAGCTGCGTGGTTTGCTAGGTTCCTTGCAATGGCCTGCAGTGCAATCTAGCCCACACCTACAGAGCAGTACATCCCTTTTGAGTGGCTATGTCAACAAAGCATGTTTGCAAACTGTAGCCGATACCAATCGTCTACTGCGTTTCGCTAAGGAGCATGCTGATGTTGGTTTGCACTATGCCCATCTGGGCCCTGTTGAAGAACTTCGCATGGTGTGTTTTTTTGATGCTGCATTCGCCACAAGGAGTGATGGTTCATCACAAGCTGGCTATGTGATCATGTTGTTGCACCAAAGCCTGCTTGAAGCGAATGGCCCTGAAGGCGCCTACCACATCCTCGACTGGCGCAGCATGAAGACACCGAGGATTGCTCGATCATCGCTTGGCGCGGAAGCTCAAAGTGGAGGACAGGCATGTGACGCCCTCGAACATGCCAGCATCTACTGGAGTTTGCTCATGGACCCTCGGCAGAGCTTGCAGCACGTCTTGAATGCCCCGTCGCTGTTGGCCCCAGTCATGGTCACGGACGCCAAGGCTTTGTTCGACTCCTACCACAGAGAAGGTGTGTCAAGTTCTGTGGTCGAAAAAAGGGTCTCTCTGGAGATCAGGGTCATGAAGGACCGCCTCAGTGCTTTGGGCGGCAACCTTCGGTGGATGTCCTCCGAACGACAGATCGCAGATGGTCTGACAAAAGAGGCTGCACGGCTTCTCCTGGCACAACGACTTCGTCATGGTCGACTCAAGCTGGTATGGGATCCCTCATACAAAGCAGCGAAGAAAAAGACGAAAGAAGAACTTCAGCAGAGCCGACTGGAGAGTGTTCAGGAAAGCCCCAAGGTTCAGTTTGAGGACGAGAGCATCAGCCAGCCCGACAACCTGGACCCACACGAGCCCTTTGAGACTGAAGAAATTGAGCACAATGTTGATGAGCACCTGCTTGATGAAGACCAGGACTCAACGAATGAACAGGTCCTTGAGAACGTCATGTGTGCTCGCACCGATGACGCCATTGTGTATGTCAACCGTAGGTCCAGCCATGTCGTGCCTGGCCGCTTGACTAAGCCCTGTGCAGGCTTCATGAAGTACCTCCTCCAGCTCCTTTGCTTGGTTGTGATGGTTCCCCAGCTAGTTGTTGGCACCGACCTCACCACCGAAAAGAAAGAAGAAGTTGACTTTGTGGGAATGATTTTGTTCACCGGCTTCCTCATGGTCATGAGCTCAGCATTCCTGGCTGGCCGCTGGACCCGCCAACCTGGACGCCCTGTGGTGGCAGAAGCTGCAGTTCAAAAGGATGAGTTGGTGATTCACTCCCGCCTTCGTGAAGAGCTGGCGAAAGCAAAAGAAGAAGTGTCTCTATGGCGCAACCGCGCTGTGCAGTTCAAGTCCTCAGCTTCTGAAAGTCGAGCTGCTGCTGACATGGTGCTAGCATACCAGTGCACAGCAGAGAACCTGCTGAGCGAGGCCAACGATCTCCTTCGCATGTGCATCAGGCAGATGGATGAGCACTCCAACGACTGCCCCTTCTACCAGAAGATCTGGATGTCAAGGCATGGTCATCGATGGCATGCCACTCCTGAGTGCACCTCTCTGGTTGGTCGAGAAGCATCATCCTTTCGGATGATTGAGAGATGCCATCTGTGCAGCGTCCGCATGCTGCCACCGGATCTGACCGATCCACGAGAAGGAGAGCCCGCAAGGGTGCTGGTTTTTCGCTGGCTTGACGCCTACGAGCAGCGACTTTTAAACACATGAGGAAAAGAACTTTTTCCCCGTGTGAAGTGTACGCTGTACACTTAGGTTCTTGAAGATGAACCTGTTTCATGTCACCCGCAACTCACCTCTCAAGCATGGGAGGGTTCATGCGCGCTGAAAAGGCGCGGCCGTGAGGATCGTTGATCCTCGTGCTTTCTTTTTTCGACACGGACTTCGTTCGCCGTGCACGACAAGTTCACAGGTATTATTTGGTGGAAAGTTTGTTTGATAAAGGATGTTTGACAAACCCTAAAACCAAACGCACATAGTATTTATACAGGGGTGTATGGACATGATTTTTTCTTAATTGGGTAGTGCTTTCAATATGGTAGGCATGCAGGATTACGGAAAGGCTTCTTGCAGTTGAAGGTCCTTTGGCTTGCATTTTCTAGGAGAGCCGCGGACAAGGTCGCAGCAGTTGTTGGGGCTGTTTGTCATTGGTGAGTGGATAGGCTGTAGGCACTTTGACCTCCAAGACAATCTCAGCATTTTAGGGTCCTCAAACTTAGTGCTCAGATGGCATATGAAGTGTGTAGAGCTCAAGGGTGTTACAAACTAGAAACGTTTAGAAACAAAACCACGATTCAGTTGTGGTCGTTGCACGGGGGGGGGTGGTCCCAGCTTAGATGTGACACGCCGCATTTTCAGTACAGGATTTTGTCAGTTGAGAGTCATGCCTACCTTGTTTATCACCGACAAAAGGTGTGTTCTGATTTTGACAGTTTTTAGCTTGGCCCATGATGAACAAGTGATTGCATCTTCCAGCCATCAGTTTGTAGCATGGCCCATGTATCACCCTGATGTAGAAATATATTTTCAGCTGAATGTGGCCTGCACAGCGCAGCGCTAGGAGAAGATACGCCTGTCGCAAGCCGCAGCCATCGAACGCGAGGTTCGACAGAAACTTCTGGCCGAAATGGAAACACAACTTAGGGGAAATGCCGCCTCTTGGATGCAACTTTCATGGCAAGAGCGAACTAAGAGGTGTCAGGCCATGTCCAGCAGGGCAACCCTGGTGTCCCTCGCGCGAGCGCAGGGGGGATGGAGGACCCCTGTCGATCCACACATTTGGCCGTTGCAGAAGAACCAGAGCCCAGGACTTGGAAGAGGAAGCTCGCGGGCGGGTGGCTAAAACTGTGCCTTGGCTAATGGTTTAGAGTGGCAGAAAGTATTGCAGGATCTAGGACATCCCAGCTTGGATCTTACCAAAAGTTGTTCCGGCATTTCCCACGGACTTGGATAAATGGTCTCCTTAATGTTGGATTGTGCCCAATAGTGATTCGTAGTCCAACAGACCTCCATTCGTGACGGATCAATAGGTACGACACCTATTATTGAACTAATGCTCCACAGCTGCAGCGTTTAGGAGACGTCTTCACTTGGTTTTACCGATCATGACCCATCCAATGAGAGGGCTTCTTTCAGGGCTTCCTCCAAAATCCATTCCTTCAGACCGCAGCTGACTTCGACGAGGCCACGCCTGGGCCAGCCATGCCACCAGCTGCGCCACCAGCCGGGCCACCGGCCGTGCCACCGGCCGTGCCGGCGGCTCCGCGTGCCCTGTTCCACGACCCCTTCGGACCGATACCACGTGTGAAAACCGTTTCAAGGGCCTTTAGGGTATCGACTGGCGTGTCGTTGTGGTGTAGAATGCAATGTGCCTCCATGCAATTAATGGCGCATTCCGTCATCACGCTTTTCTGGCACAGTTTGCAAGCAGGCTCCAATGTTCAGCGCACTGTAGATTTTTATGTAGACATGCTCTAGCAACCATGTCATGGTGCTGGGAGTTTGGTGACCACAGTTTTCGATGTAGGACTCTGCTCCCACGAACACTTCTCATACGTTGCCCTACTTTGCCCTAAAAGTGGATGGAAGTGGATGGCATGGCCCGTTGGAAGACCATGTTCCTCTACACACAGGTGGTGCCATCCACTTCGATGAATGCAGGGGGTGTACTGCCAGGTGGATGGGGAAAGGCTCAAATTCTGATGGTTATTTTGGTCTGAAGTCCGTTGGCCAAATCCGAGGTCTTCCCACGCCAGCAGTGCCCAACAGCGTCAAGGTGCGCCATAGATCACAGTTTTCAATCGTACAGACATGTTGCCCAAGGAAAACCCCAGGATGTTGTAACAGTGTCTTCGTTCCAAATCTGTGTTCAATCGTTTTGCCCTTTTGACATGTAGCCTTCACCTGCACTGCACGAGGGCGGGCCGGGTGGCCCCCCCGAGGGCAATGGGCAACAAGAACATAACAAATATATATATATATATATGTATATTATATATATATGTCATTATATTCAATGTTGGCATGATGAATGTTGATAAGATAAGATTAGACAATATTCCCAATGAGTTAGTAGGTATCGACAACAATCACAAATCACTACAAAGGCCAGCAAATACAACATCAACATCAACACTGTAAAACACCGTACTTTCACAGAAAAGGTGGGTACTGTACTCGGCCTGAGGGTGGTATGTGGGTGGCACTTATCACCTGTTGTTGGGGAAGAGGAAGGGCCACAGCCCCCAAATTCCAGTGTCCCATATTTGGCTGCAAGAGTTTACCCACTGATCCCCCTCAGAGGATGGTAGGTTTCCTGGATCATCTAGCCTTTGAGTCTTTGAGGTTGGGGACGTTGAGAAGGAGGTCAGTCTGCTCGTCACGCCGTCCGACGGATGCGATGTGTCTCGTCACGGCTCCCAAAAACACGGGGAGGAGTGGCTGTCTTGGGGGAAAGCGAGGCCCAATTAAATTTGCTCCTAGTAGCGTCCATGCTCCTAGTATATAGTAAGGCCAGGAGTGCCCCTAGTAGCGTCAATGCTCCTAGTAGTAAGGCCAGGAGCCCTAGTAGCTTCTTGTTGCCGTTCTTGGCAAATGACATCAATTTTTATGCCGTTTTGTGTCTATAGGGCTGGCCTGGCGGCTTGGGTCAGGCCGGAGATGAACATGGAGAGCAGAAATCGCAAGCGAATGCACGTCCAGCTGAAATAGCAGCAATGATCTTAGTGGTGTTTCATTGTTTGTTTGGCGTGGGGTGGATGATCTCCCACATAGATCTTCAGATATCGCAGGTGAAAGCGAGCATGGAGAAGGAGATCCGCGAACGCTTGCAGACCGAGAACTTCGAGGCAGAGGTCAAAGTGCGTTTGGAAGAGGAGTGATCGAGCGATCGCAGCGATTGGAGATCCCGCGAGATTGAGTTGGCAAGTGCTGGTTGGAAAATGATCGCAACGACTACAGATGCACCTCAAATCCTGGGTAGTCTACCGACATCACTTGCGCTCCGTGTCTGACGCTTCCCATGGTCCTTCACCAATGGTGGGTACCAGGGAGTCTGGGTAGTCTACCTAGGTGATTGTATAGTGAGTCTCCGAGACTGTCCGACGTTTGAATGTATTTTCCCATTGGCAGATGCGATGCTGTGGATTAGTCATGGTATGTCATGGTCATGGTGGTTTTGCCAACGCTCCTGCCAATATTAAACTATATGACTGGTTAAGCTTTAGTTGGGACATTCAAGGAAGCAAGCAGGCAACCAAGCAAGCAAGCAAGCAAGCAAGCAACCAAACAACCAAGCAAGTACTGTAAGTTGTCACTAGTCATGGAGTCATGCATGTTGTTAATCCAGCAAGTCCATCTACTTTGGGAAGCCCTTTGGAGAAGTGAATATCAATCACCCTTTTTCTTGTGGCTCCTGATTTGATCTCAGGAGATTCGTGCCCGATTGCATGCAAATGTGGAGGCCGATGCTGAGCAGCTTGGACGAGTTCAGCATGTGTCAGCCTCGAATATCCCACATATATATATATGATTTAACTATAACAAATATTGGTAGCTCCCAGACTCCCAGAAGTGGTTGGGAGCTTTCCACCGCTGGGTTTGTTCAACAACGCTCCATCCATCCGAACGCGCCAAGGCGGTCCTTTGGTGCCACCTTTGAGGCGAAGCGTCAGAGCTTGGAGGCGGAGTTCGCGCGGAAGGAGTTGCAGCTCCGAGAAGAGCAGGAGAAGAGCTCCGAGATTTTCTCGGGTGTTTGGGGGAGGGGCGTTTTGGAGTGGAAAGAATAGAACAGACGATTTGGGAAAAGGGTTGGAATGGTGTGGCAAACCCGGCCGACATGTCGAGTTGGGGCGTTGTTTTGGTTGGTTGAAAGACTAGGGCGTACGGAATGAGAAGAGTTTGTTTGTAAATGACTTTCAGGCTTCAAGGGTTAGCTATAGTAGCACATTTATTATAGAAGAAACTGCTTGTGCCAATCTTCTATTTGAAGGGTATGGAAATTTGCCGCCGGGAGGGTTTCAAATAGAAGAGAGGCAGGTGGGAAAAAAGTCCCGGGCACAAAGTTGGTGAAAGCCGAGAGAGGCCAAACCCCGAGCCACTTCAAATAGATGATGCAAAAAACGGCAAAGCAGAGGAAGAGAAGGGAAGGCATACTAGGAACAAGTGCATCGCTACTAGGAGCAAGGGCCCTACTAGTAGTAACAAGAAGCTATAGTAGAAACAAGAAGCTTCTAGTAACAAGTGCATCGCTTCTAGTAACAAGTGCCTTACTAGTAGTAACAAGAAGCTATTAGAAACAAGAAGGTGCCCACTACTAGTGCCTTACTAGTAGTAGATCCACAGCCCCTGGTGCCTCCTCCTCCAGCAGCTTCCTTTCGTTCGCTTTTTCAGAGTCTCATTCGCTCCAGGAAGCTCACCTGAAGAAACTGAAGGAGTCCATGCCGGAAGGCGGATGTGACAGGGCTGAACAGGTGGAAGGTGGACTTGATTTGCTGGAGGTTCTAGATGGGTGTGTTTTTCCATGTTCTTGCAACTTTTAAGCCATTTTGAGCCCGCGGGGTGGGATATCATCGTTGTCAGCGGACATGTGCAGAAACAGGTTTGAGCCACGTTTCTTCCGCCATTTTGGTACACCAGTTGCATGTCCAATGGCATGACATAAGACACCCGAAAAGTAGTATGAATGAGGGGTTGTGATGTTTGTGGTTGGAAGCTCCACCCTGCTGCAACAGCCTGTGCACAACAGACATCAACAGACCATGACTAATTAAGTTAGTGTATGATATTTAAAGTGCTGTAGATTAGGCTAGGAAGATTATATAGACCAGTTTTTGTGGTCCCGAGTGTATGTTCAACATGCTCAACCCTTTGCAGATCTTTGCAGGGCATGATCAATGGCCATGTTTTTGCATGTGAGCTGAGCCCACAGGAAAGCCGGTGTGCTTTCCTGTTTCGATGCCTTTGCTGAGAACAGATTGGCTCCCATCACATAGCCCAGATTTGGCCTCTTCTTGTCAGGTGGTGCGGATGGTTCGCATGAACTTCAGGAGCCTCGCGAGGGTGTGACAGGGAGGGGTGGGGATTTGCTTTGGAACTTTCTGAGTCCGGACCCTCAAAGTGACCAGGTGCTGTGGAGAGAAAATGGGTGTTGAGATTCTTTAAGGCAGTTGCAGCTACTCAGACTGTCAACCGATCCAACATATAGAATTGTTAACCAAGTGTTGGATCTCCCGGCTCTTGGCTTCATGCCTTTGCAACAACATCGGTTCGTCGATTGAGCTTCCTTGGATCGGATTGATTGCCAGCCTTGTCTTGAAGGTGCGTAGTTTCTCCTTTCGCTTCGATTTTGATCCCGATGAGAATTTGGGACCGGAGCACACAAGGCTCATGTTTGTTTGTTTCTCCTCAAGGCGACTCTAAGCCACTTTCAGATCTTGGAGTGTGTACAATGAAAGTACCACTTGCCACCTGTATCGTGTGCTATCGCGTGTTAATTGGGTCATTCCCACCCACCCTGAAACGAAAAGAAGGACCGGAGTATACCACAAACCTCCTGAACAAGCAAACTATGGTCATCACCTTCAGCTCCACCTTCCACCTTCCGCAGGAGCTGCGACGAAGCAAGATGGTGCCCCGACCACGAGGGGTCGACCGCGACGACATCGATCGGTCCACCAATGGGGCAAAGCTGGTTGGCTGATCTGGGACTCCAGGCTGCCATCGATCTGGGGCTCGTCCTGACAAACATCTTGGTGAATGCTGACCTCTCACGAATCTCTTACCAAGACAAACATGACACTAATGAGGCATAATATGAGGCCATTCCTGCATTCCTCCCGCACCAGTCACCGGAGACGTTTTCAGCATCATAAAGTCGGCATGGAACTTGGACTCCTTTAATTACTACTGCTCAGCTGATGGGTTTGTGCCGAGTTACTACTTGGGCCCCCCCTAAAAAATGTTAAAAAGGTTGATTCAACGAAGTTTTTGAAAATAAAATGAAACAGGATAAAACCAGATTTTCAATATGGTTGATTTCTTCATTTTAATCAACTATATCAAAATCAAAGCAGTTAAAGCATCATTACCTTATTCAATTTTTAAAATCAAAGCAGTCAAAGCATCATTACCTTATTTATGTTTAACAAATCCTATCTACTGACCATTGCCCAAATTTATTTGATGCTTATTTGTTTTAATATGTCGTGAGTAACATGGTTGCCTTATTGAACAATTACAAACAGAACAGGTAATGGTTTCTAGATTAAATTTATGGTTTTGTTCCAGTTTCTTTTTTCTATACTCTTCGTCTTCTTCATATCTTCTTCTTTGTGCTTCATTTGCTTTATCTCTATGTTTATAATGGTTTGCTCTTTTATATTCTAAGCATTTTTTGCAAGTTTAAAATCCAATTTCAAAATTGTTAAAAGGTAAATCTTTGACACAATATCTATAAAATCTCTCCATCAAAATATAAGATATGTATTTTCTTAAATGTATTTGCTAAGAATTCTTATCAAACACTTCTCAGAAAAAAGAAAAGCAAAACACAAAACAAAACAGCAAAGAAACAAACAAAGAAATTCAACAAGTATCCTAACAATGAACATACAAAGAAAAAACTGAAGAACAAAATAGAACAGAAGACCATAATAAAGTCAACTTCTAAGAACAAAAAATATCATTCACATAAAAACTACTTAAAGATTAAATGATTTAATAAAATATTATATAGAGTATTATATTATAAAAAAGTTACAGATTATCTATCAAACTATTAAATAATGATTTAGCATAAATACCCAAGAGAGGAAGAACAGAATTAAAGAAAATAATCATAGATGGTAGAAAATTTAGATACAATAAATCAAAATAAATATCAAAAGTAAAAAAAAAGACTTAAATACTTAAATCAATCAGAAATACAAACGAGTATAGGAGTTATGCCTTAAACAAAGCAAAAGATGCTTACACCCTTGGACGAGCAACAGTATTACTAACAAGGAGGGCAATAAGAATTAAATTCAGAGTAAATGATGTCCAGTCAGCATTTAGAAACTATGCCAATTCCATAAAACTTGAAAATAAGCACTTTCAAGGTGAGCGAGGATTGGAAATGATTGCTCACCACAAATCACGATTAAGAGACTTCTTAAAAAATAATATAAATATGAAACTTAACAGAAGGCTTATTTGAAAAACCTGAGTATGATGATGGAGGAAATAAAATTGCTATAAGCGAACACCTTTATCAATTACCAGCAATACGTTACAATGTTCATAATGAGGATGAGTTAAGCCAAGCATTAGAAAATAGTGTTCAACAAATCTTATTGAAAATTAAAGATTTAGAAGGCACACAGTCCAATTTAGTATTTAAAACGATTGTTTCAATAACCATTCATTTTGATAAGTATGACCCTACAAGAGCGGGTAGGTATATAGAACTACCAGAATGGATAAAACTTAAAAAGGCGTGTATCAACATAAAAAAAAAAACATGTTTCAAATACTGTATTCAATGTATAGCATTCAAAAAAATCAGTAAAAGTCATCCAGAAGAGATGTTCCTCTACAACAAGTTAAATGACAATATTTTAAGTTGGGAAGGTGTTAAATTTCCTACAGGGAATAGGGACATAGACTGGTTTGAAGAAAACAATAAGCAAGTTTCAATAAATGTTTTTGAACCTGATGACTGCTTAAAGGACAACACAATAATTTTACATAGAGGAACTAAAAACAAAAATGCTAAATATGAAATTGATTTGTTAAACATTTTTGATGATGACAATAATTATCACTATGCTTTGGTAAAGAACAGATGTAGATTACTAAACTTTCAGAGTGGCAAAAACACAAATAAACAGTTTTACTGCCACCATTGCTTAAACCCTTTTCAATCGGAAAAGGCCTATAATGAGCATTTGGAAAAAGGTTGTATGGCATCAGAAGGACAGCAAACAAACATGCCTGATAAAGGTAGTTATATAGAATTTGAAAAACATAACACTAAATTACCGTGTCCTTTTGTAATCTATGGAGATTTGAATGTCTAACCACTAACTCCAACAATGGTATAAAAGGCACATATCAGGAACATAAACCGTGCGGTTATTTGTTGAATGTAGTAAGCAGGATTGATAATACATGCCAACCATACTTATACAGAGGTGAGGATTGTATGAAAAAGTTTGTTGAACAACTGACTGTAATAAAAAATGATATGTTTAACAAAATGAATGTCAATAAACCAATGGAAATTACATACGAACAAGAATTACAGTTTAGAAAAGCAACTCACTGCTCAATATGTAATAAGAAATTCCAACCTGATGATAAAAAGGTTCGTGACCATTGCCATTTCACAGGCAAATATAGAGGCGCAGGACATGAAAAATGTAATTTAGATTATTCGTTTAATTTTTTTTTTAAATCCCGATATTTTGTCATAACCTTTAAAACTATGATGCTCACTTAGTTATTGCTAAAGCTAATGAATTGAACATAGAATTGAATGAAAACAAAAGGATAGATGATGTAACAGCACAAAACAGCGAAAAGTGTATAACCTTTTCATTTGGTGCTTGTCAGTTTAAGGACAGTTTTGCTTTTCTATCAGCATCACTGGACAAAATTAGTCAGACAAAATAAATATGAAGGAAATGAAAAAGTAAAAGAATGGGAAAAAAAACACTTCAGATATACAAAAACAAATCCATATATCAAGTCTAAAACTGAATTAAATTTACTAACTGATAAAGGAATATATGCAGTCGCTTATGTATAGAATGTACATGAAACCGCATAGCCCTTTTCAGAGCTCAAAATAAGAAGCTGCCCGCTTGCATGGTAGCGGAGCCGGACCCAGGGCATCCGGCTCCCGCCCCGGTCAGACTCTGTAAGGCCCTTGCAGGGCGTGAGCGCGGGAGGCTGACGGCGTAACATCCTCGACGCATTAGAGGTGGCAAGCATCGGCATGGACGGCGCGGCTCCTTCGACACCACCTCAGGCCTTTGCACTACATCCTGGAACCCCTCGACGGCAAGAAGGACTACAGGCCATTCCAGGACCAGGCCACGCAGCTGGAGGTGGAGGACTGATAGACACAAGAGCGATTGGAAAGCTTCGGTCGTTCTCGGGAAAGGAAGAGGATTGGCCCGCCTGGGCATTCGTGGCCAGAGGATACCTGAACCTGCTGGATCCTGGCTACCAAGCTTTGATCTCGGCATCAGAGCAGGTGCAAAGCTACAGCGACATCGTCCTGGCGGAGCTCGGGCAGTATGGCCAAGAAAAGGCTGTGGTGCTCTTCAACCTGTTGACCCAGAGCGTGGAAGGTCGAGCACTGCAGATCATGATGAATGTGGAGAGCGGCAACGGTTTCCAAGCATGGAAGGCCCTGTGCGAGAACTATGAGCCAGATGTTGGAGGCAGACACACTGCCATGCTGTCTGGCATCATCGCACCATCCTGGGAGAGCATCAAGGAGAATGACTTCCTGGAAGCTTTGGAGAGCTGGGAGGTGCAGATCCGGCGCTATGAGGTCCAGAGCCGAGAGCAGATCTCCGACTCCATGAAGATCGCCGTACTGATGAAGCACGCACCGATGTCCCTGAGGAATGCTTTGAGGACTGCCGGAACTCAGATCGGCACCAACTATGAGCGGGGCAAGAAGTTCGTGCGTGACTTCCTCCTGACAGGCCAGTTCTACACCACGAAGGGCGAGGTCAAAGATGATGGCGGCCCACAACCTATGGAGGTTGGCGCAGTGGAGTCCAAGGGCAAGAAAGGCGGCAAGCAGGGAAAAGACAAAGGAGTCAACAAGGGCGGCAAGTATGACAAGAGCAAGGGCAAGCCACAGACGAAGAAGTTCAATGGTGAATGCTCCTACTGCTACAAATGGGGGCACAAGAAAGCAGACTGCCGAATCCTGGCAAAAGACAAAGCACGCCGTGAAGGCGGAGGAAAAGGAAAAGGCAACAGCACCAATGCTGTGAGTTCATCACCATCGCATGCACAGCCCAGCAGTCCACAGTCTGCCACTGCTGCTGGGAGCACCAATGCTGTGTT